ATTTTCTTCAAGTAATTCTTTTGTGAAAGCCAAATCTTCCTATTACTTCTGTCTCGGTGAATTTGCATCCCTAGAATCTTGTTTGCTGATCCCAAGTCCTTCATTTCAAATTCCCTAGCCAGTTGTGCCTTCAATATGATCTTTGTTGGGTCCTGCAACCAACATGTCATCCACATACAACAGCAAAATAACAAAATCGTTATCACCAGACCTCTTGAAATAAGCACAAGGGTCTGCATTAAGTCTGTTGTATCCAAGGCAGATAATGAAAGAATCAAATCTCTTGTACCAACACCTCGGCGCCTGCTTTAGACCGTAAAGAGATTTGTTCAACCTGCAAACCAAGTTCTTCTTTTCTTTTTCTTCAAAACCTTCAGGCTGGAGCATATAAATTTCTTCTTCAAGATTTCCATGAAGAAAAGCTGTTTTAACATCTAGCTGCTCTAGATGTAAGTCCAATGTAGCACACATTGCCAAAACTACTCTAATTGTTGTTAGTCGAACCACAGGAGAAAATATTTCATTGAAATCAATACCTTCTTTTTGAGCATATCCTTTGACCACCAGTCTTGCACGATACCTTTCAACTTGATCGTCACCATTTCGCTTGATTTTGAAGACCCATTTGTTACCAATTGGTTTCCTTCCTTGTGGTAGTGGCACAAGGTCCCATGTATTATTTTTATGAAGGGCTTCAATTTCTTCTTGCATCGCCATCATCCATAGTGAAGCATCTGAGTTGTTTATTGCCTGCTGGTATGTTGATGGCTCACCGTCCTCTGTTAAAAGGCAGTATGCAATATTACCTTCTATAACATAATTTGAGTGCCAATTGGGACGTCTTCTCACACGATCTGATTGACGAGTTGTTAGAGCTTCAGAACTCTCTGGTTCTTGTTCATCATGTGCTGGTTCTGCTTCAGAAGAATCTCCTTCTTCAACCTCTTTTTCCACATGTATCTGTGTAGTCTCTGACTTTTTAGCACTATCATCGTCTTCTTTTCTTTGTAGTTTATCCTCTACAAAGATAACATCCCTGCTGATGATCACTTTATGGGCAGTGGAATCCCACAAGCGATACCCCTTTACACCATCAGCATACCCCAAGAATTTGTATTTCCTGGATTTTGGATCCAGCTTTGAAATTTCTTGGGCGTTGTACATCACGTACACAATACTTCCAAATACATGGAGGTTTGAATAATCAGCTGGTTTACCAGTCCACATCTCCATTGGTATCTTCAGCTCTATTGCAGTTGATGGAGCTCGATTCACCAAATAACAGGCGGTATTGACTGCTTCTGCCCAGAATGATTTTTCTAGGCCTGCATCCCTCAACATTGCTCTTTTTCTAACAAGGTTCTGTTCATCCGCTCTGCCACTCTATTTTGTTGAGGAGTGTTCGCCACTGTGAACTGTCTTTTGATGCCTTCTTTCCTGCAAAAGTTATCAAATTCTTCGCTTGTGTATTATTCTCCTCCATTATCTATTCTGAAACACTTGATCTTATTTCCATAATCAAGTTCCACCCGCGCTTTGAAGTTTTTGAAAGTTGAAAACACGTCTAACTTCTTCTTAATAGGGTGCACCCAACATCTCCTAGAGTAGTCATCAATAAATGAGACAAAGTATTTTGCTCCACCTAGGGACGTTACTAGTGCTTGTCATACGTCAGAGTGAACCAATTCTAGAACACTTTTGCCTCTAGAATTTGATGTGTTGAATTTCAACCGGTGCTGCTTACTTGTTATGCAATGCTCACACAAAGGAAGTGATACCTTTGTTAAGCATGGAAGTAGCTTTTGCTCCACAAGGACTTTCATTCCTTGTTCTGACATGTGTCCAAGTTTCTGATGCCATAACATTGCCGAATCTGAACTACATGAGGCAACAGAGGCTTCTGCTTCTAGCAAAGTCTCTCCCTTCAGCATGTACAAGTTTGCTGCTATCTTTTCGCCTTTCAGCACCACAAGCGCTCGACGGAACACCTTCATGATTCCTTTTCGTGTCTCAATCTTGCTTGCATTATTATCCAACAATCCGTAGGATAATAAATTTTTCTTCAGGCCTTTCACGTGCCATACATCTCGAACAACTTTAATTGTTCCATCATACATCTTCAATTTGATGGTTCCCACGCCAATGATCTCTAAGGCATGATCATTGCAACTATACACAGATTCTCCTGAGACAGGTTCATAATGATGGAACCATTCTCTTCTTGAGGTCATGTGATATGTTGCTCCCGAATCAATGAGTCATATATCTGCAAATCATTTTCTTCCTTCCACGGTGGTTGATCCTTCACAGCATAGAGCATCTCCATCATCTGAAGTGTTTGCGGTTTTGCCTTGTGGATTGGAGTTTTTATTTAGACTCCAACAATCATTCTTCAAATGACCCTTCTTTCCACAGTTGTAACACTTTAAATTCTTCTTGCTCCTCGACTTCGATCTACCATGTTTGTGACTGCTGCTTTGGCCACGTTCTATTGATCTCCCTCTCATCGTTGTCATTGTTGTCAACGCTACTGCTTGTTGCAGATTTACTTGTTTGTCTTCCTTGTTCTTGCGTCGATTTTCTTTTTGTAGAACAGCAGCTGCAACATCATCAAAGACTAGACTAGTGACATTATTGTTTGTCAAGTTGATGATGAGTTGATCATACGAATCCGGTAGACTTTGAAGTAGAAGTTCATCACGTTCTTGTTCTCCTATTTTACAGCTTAAGGATGTAAGCTGAGAAAATAAGGTGTTCAGTGTATTTAAGTGCTCCGTCACTGAAGTAGATTCTGGTATACGGAGAATGTACAATTTTCTCTTAAGGAAAATTTTATTATGCAGCGATGTGGCCTCGTACAATTTGGTGAGATGATCCCATATCTCCTTAGCTGTCTTCTTCTCCTCGATGCTTGACAATACTTCATATGTTAATGCTAGATGAAAGTTTTTCATAGCATTCCCGTCCATCTCGTTCCATTTGATGTCATCTGCGAAATCCACCGGCCTTTCATTGATAGCCGCTAGACACCCGTCTTTCCTTAGAATGACCTTCATCTTCAATTTCCACAATGAGAAATTTCTCCCATTGAATTTTTCAATATCAAATTTCGTTGCCATAGCTTCTTTTACGGATAGCTCCCACTATTTCACTATCGTGAATAGTTCTCTGGAACCTTCAAAGAATGAGTAATACCATCTTACTTTCTTATGTTGGAGGATCCACCTTTTGGTGGCAACCACAAAGACAATAAGCAGATATTACACACTCAAATCTGGCTCGGATACCAATTGTTGCGGAAGACGGCTATCGGATAGAGAAAAATCGCAACTGATAATTTGAGAAAATAAAAATGAAGATAAAAGAGACACAAAATTTACGTGAAAACCCCCTAAAATTATTAGGGTAAAAAGCACAGACAACAGTAGAAGAATTTCACTATGAGAAAATAGGAATTACAACCTCTCTCGATCTACCAAGGAGAAAACAGTGATAATTCTCTCTTGATAAAAAAGGAGAAAACAACTCTCAAGAAACTCTCTAAATTCTCTCTAGTATTGAAAGAAAGCTAGAATGCTTTGGGATGGTTTTGAAGCTAAATGAGCTAGGGTATTTATAGTAGAAGCTTTAAGGACTAATCTTATAAATACCCTAAATTACAATGACTAATTGCATAGTTTTACCATCCAAAAATTCAACAAAAGTTGGCTACCTAAATATGACCATTTAGCCGCCCATGTTTTGTTTACTTTCAACAATCTCATCATATTTATGTAGTTTTCTCCATTACTATAACTGCAAAAGGACTCCTAAATTTAATATGAGAATGTGTAATTTAAGGTAACAAAACATTATAAAATCTATAAAAAAATTAGAAAAAAGGATAATACTAAATTGTTTTCATGACATTTACGTGGTATGATCTAAAACAAATCAAATGATAATAGACAGTGACATCTCTTATATCAAAGCTTTCACCAGTACCACGCCATACGTGACGGCGACTTTCAGTCCCACCTCAGATGTCACTAGTTGATATCGACGGAACTTATTATTAGTTTTCAGAAGGGTCCAATTGACAATGAAATGAGAGCTGTGCCCCGTGGATTGATAATTGGCTGCTATTATTACCACTCCAACGTGCAAGTCCTCCCTAAATTATCTGTTATCGCTGTTGTATGCTTTTGTAAAATCTTGTTAAATTGTAATAATTAACAAACCAAATACTTAAAACATTTGTCCTCAAGCATCTCGATCGGAGATCAAATGACTAATTATCATATCGACATATATGGATAATGAAACCCTCAATCACGAGGTTACCAAAGATTTATTCGGTGATCAAATGACTAATTATCAGAAACCCCAAGTGTTATTGCTCTTTAAAAATTTAAAGTTTTTATTATTAATTCCCATAGTCTACGTCAGTGCTGGAAGAAGGGATGAATGTGTGTTATATAAAGTGGGGCCTAATAAGCTTGGATCGATAGAAGGGGCAGATGAGAATAGTCGTCTCCTGAAAATTTAAAATTTTTAAATAATTAAATAAAAGCTATAGTTGGAAGAGTTGAAATTTATGATTTTGAGAAATATTCCTGTGTCAACTGAGTTAAGGCAAAATAAAGTCCAGCAACATCTATAAAACCAATCAGTGCTTTCAAAAGTTCCTGAAAATGCAAAAGCAACAAATTTCTCATGAGTTTAAAATGTGACAGTATTACAATCCATATCTCTAAAAGCCTCTTATGCAACTGCAGTTAAGAAAGTAGTGAAGGTTTTCACATTCAGTTCTAGCTAATAACATCATCAAATCAAATTGCCACAAACTACTACAACAACAATAAAACCCTATTCCCATATGCAATGGGATAAGGGAGGTACGGTAGTGGGCTGCCCCAACACCAGGTTGAGAGCAGCTTCCGTGGAAGACCTCCGACAGTCAGAAAATTTAAAAATAAAGATGAAATACAATGCATATATAAATAAATAAATACATAGTTGAACAGTCATCATATGCAGTCTATATATGCTCGTCTGTAATGGGAAGTTATCCATGCAGATAAATCTCTGTGTAAAAATCTCTGCATATAGACAGAAACGTAAGTTCGGGCTAAATTTAAAAAGAGGAAACATGAAGAGAATGATACACAATAGTCAACGATAGCAAGTTATGAGAAGCAATAAAGTCAAATGGGTTAAAACCTAAACTAAGGCAACACTACTCCGCTACCCTAGTTCTAAGCCTTCATAAATTCAAATGACAATAAAAAGTAGAAGTCATGGAAATTACTACAAAGGCTTTAGAAAGAAGGCAGAGATGCTACACCCTATTGTTGTGACCCACACTACTCGGCTACCCTAGTATTAAGTCTCCAGGCTTTCCTGTCAGATGTCATATCCTCGGTTAGGGATAAATCCTTCAAATCAGATCTCAAGCAGTCTACCCACTTTCTCCTTGGTCGACCTCTTCTTCTGGCACCATCGACTGTAATTGACTCTACCCTCCTGACCGCATCCGAAGGTTGTCGCCTAAGGACATGCCCAAACCACCGTAGTCTTCCCTCCCTCAACTTTTCGGATACATGCACCACCCCAAGGACCTCCTAATTGTAGAGTTTGGTGTCATGTCCCACAGAGTCCTACCACATGCCCATCAAAATATTCTCATTTCTGCGGCCTCCATCCTCCTAACGTGCTACTTCTTGATTGCCCAACATTCTGATTCATACAGCAGCGCTGGTCTAATTGTCATTCTATAAAATTTTTCCTTAAGTTTTGGAGGCACTTTCTTATCACACAAAACTCCAGTAGCAGCCCTCCACTTTAGCCATCCCGCCTTTATACGGTGTGTACGTCATCATCTACACCCACATCTTTATGTATCATAGACCCTAGGTACTTGAAACAATCTTTAGAGGGGAAAACGTGTCCTTCGGTACATACTTCTACATCTTCACCGTTTTGGTTCAATGTAGATTCCAATAATTGCAATTAGACAAATATCTGCATCCATCCATCCATGTAGATTCCAATAATTACAGCAAAAAGAAAAGAAAAAAGAAATACCTGGTATAGGTCAAAACAATCGTTCTTAGACACTTGAAAAACGTTGCAAGGCAAACAAGCTGCCAGCATAGAAAGAAAACAAAACAAATTAACTATCCAAAAATACTTGATATAAACACCAATGAGATTGAGATTTAGCACGGCATTTAGGGACGCTGAAATTTTCAAGCTGTACTGACCTTAACCAAAGCTGTTCCTAGATATACAAGGGCAGCTTTAACAGTACCAAAAGTATCATACTCCGATCTGCATAAACATAAATCAATATAAAGTACACTGATTTGTATACGAAACAGTACTACAATTTAGTAGAAAATATCAATTTCCCCCAACAAATTTAACTAACTAAATTCTCAAAAACCAACTACATAAATAGCATAATTTTCCCACTACGCCTAATTACTTCCAACTTATAGCTGCCGAACATTTTAATCAAAATCTTTTAACATTTTTTAGAACAAATCTTAACTAGTTTTTTTTTTCTTATTGTAGGTAGATCTGTTCTTAAAAGAAGAAGACAAATCTTTTTCTATCGATAATTTTTTTCCCAGTCTCAACACAGATCAAAGTTTAAGTTCTAAGTAAAGCTCACTTCCACAGAAAAAGAAGAAGAAATTTAGATGTTATAGAAAGAAATATATCACAAATTACATATAAAACTAGGTAAAGGTTGAGTAAAAGGGGAGTCGGAACGTACAGGGGAGTGGCGGAGTAGTAGACGGCGTGAGGACCGAAGGTGAGAATGGCACAGTTGAAGAAGTGAAACATCGTCATTTTCCCGTTTTCCTGTGTTTTTGCAAATTTCAGTTCTTTTCAATTTCAGGTTTCAATATCACAAAGCGATGCTTTGCTCGTCCCTTTAACGAATTTCGCTTGAACTTAAAATCGGATCGAGAATGAGTGATCTGTTTCTCAAGTGGGCCGCTAAAGAACTCGTTACATCTCGAGCCCCGAAGATGCTATTCAGGCTTTTCGGCTGAATAGCATGTCAAATCTAGTTATAAAATTTTAATATATGTTTTGAATTGTAAAACAACTTTTCGTGTAAATTTATTTTTTAAAAATTTAAAAAATTATAATTATGTTTTATTTATAAAGAAATAAAGATTCATACAATCATTAAAAATATAAAAGTACTTAAAATTTATTAAAACTCAGAAAATTCATAAAAAATATCATAATATTTTACATAATTTTCTTTTTTTATATAGAATTTTTAATATTTTATTTGAGTTTAAAAAGTAACTAAGCGTAATTATATTTTAAAAAAATTTATAACTTGAAATTGATTATTTAATTTTGAGAGTTTTTAAAATTTTATATTATTAAAAGTTTAAGGTATTTTTACCAGTTCTAATTGGATCTTTTAAAATTTCTTTTATGTGTCAGTGTCAGTGAAATTTTGAACTTTTTAATTGTTTTGATGTGTGGTAGTTGTGGCACCCGTTGTCCAAACTAATTATGTAACAACCTAAAATTGATGTTGAAATTTTGAAAGTCGTATGTTGAAATTTTGTGAAATTTAATATTGAAAATGCTAAAAAAACAAATGATTACTTAGAGTTAAATTATATCAAATATTAATTTATAAGATAGAATTTGTAACGATTAAAATAAATATTAAATAAAATAAAATGTAAAGTTAACGAATTCCCAAGAATTAAAATTCTTGCCAAAACATCAAGTTCTAAGGTTAAGGATAATAAGGATTGGGTGTGGATGCTACGTGTTTTGGTATTTATACCAGAAGCCCAAAATCTCAGGGGGGAATCTTATTTGAGTTAGAAGTCCATTTTTTATATAATAGAAATCCAATTTGTCAAGTTTGGTTTGGGATCGACCCTAGGCCTATAAATACCATATTAATTGTCTTTATCTTCGAATATCAAATATTATTCAATCTGAAATTCTAGATATTTAAAAATTTAATTCACTCAAATTATGACTTGTATCTGATTTGAAAAAAATCAGATATTTGATTTTTCAAATCAAATATTTGAATTGATTATAAAATTTAATTTACAAAATATATAAATTCAAATTTTATATTTTATGACTTTATGCAATATCTTCTATGTGTGTGTATTTAATTATTCACACATAGTAAACAATTAAACATCATAGTTTTTAGTTAAATGGGAAGATGAAAAAAAAATAGACTTTATAAGGATACAAAATAATGTCATTTTAGTTTAAATTATGTTTTTCAAAAATTAATGTTATTTTGGAGATGTTTTCCATGCCATTGTATCATTAATTAACGATATAATGATAAAAATAGGAACCTTTCGAAAGCTTGATGACTAAATTAAAAAAAGTAAACTTCAATGATAAAATATAAGAGTGAGAGTAAAATTGAGTGATAAAATATATATAATTTACCCAAACAAGTTTTTCACAAGCAAGGTTAAAATGGTGACACTAGCTATCTATTCCGTCTAACAAGATGAGACTCTCGATCTCTTAATTATAATGTTCATAGTTTAAATTTTGATGTTTGGATGGAACAAGTTAGAGTAAGAGGATCGTTCATATAATAGATTTATATAGTATGTTATTCGAATTAATTAATCATTTGATCAAATATCGATGATAAATATTATATTTATTTATATTTTAAAATTTAAAATAAATATAAAAAAAAATTCATGTGATTTTATCTCGTTAGTGAAAAAATCATTGACGGTACGATAAATACTATACATATAATTATAAACACACTTTATTTAGAAATTAAATTATACAGAATATCTCAGTTTCTTGTTCTCTCTCTATATACACATATGTTAATCGTACCCATCCCTTACCTTCCCGGGTTCCTTTCACACTCGAATAATAATTTGTTTAAACAGTCTAATTTATCATATTGTTTTACAATCAACTATACATTATAGTATTATTATATAATGTATGAAAGGTAACAAATCGCTTATTTCCAAACAGGAGAGCTGACCATTCTAATTACTACTTCTATTTAGGGTTTGATATCATTTCCATGTCATTATTTTACAAATGAAATTAAAGTCCATGGAATACAGCAATGATGTAATAACCATCTTAACAAATAGTTTTTGTTTTAACTCAATTCGGGACGAAGTCCATAGACCTTTGAAAAACTAATAATTTTGACACATCACGAGGATGTTTTTATTCCTCCATGAATGTGAAATGTAGAGAATTTTAATTACTCGATGTTGACATTGTCAGCTTTAGTTTTATTTTCTTTTGATCAAGGTCAGCTTTAATTTTCTCACATTCTATTAATGAGGAGTTTGACATCTTACCATGAAGAAGAAACAAATTTCTTTCTGACAATAATAGAAAGGAAAAAAATGAAGAGAAAGAGAAGAACATAAAGTTTAAGTTTATTTGACCTAAAAAAAGAATAAAAATAAAACGTGTCGATGTGGTCCAAAGGAAGGACAGCGTCACGAGAATGTTGACAATGTACCAGCCGGTAACACTACAGGGAAATTAAATTTATTACTTCGTTGAATTGGCAGAAAAGATAATAAATTAAAATAAATATGAGAAGTATTTGGGAGTGTGCATGAGGTCACCAAGATGCAATACAATCAAGTTACATATTTTTATATTTTTTCGGAGTTTAGTTTATTTATTTTTAAATCTTATTAGTGTTTTTTACTATTATAAGAAATTGAAAAAATAAATAAATTAATTACGTTTCAAAACTTGAATTTAGATTACATATTTTTATTATTATTGGTGTATTTTTAAATTTTATTGATATATTTTACATATTTTATTTTATATATATTTTTTTCCTTAGAATTTTATGAATTCGTCTCCTTATATAAATATGATATTTGTTCATACTTCCTTTATGTCTGATTAATCAGTTAAAAGGAGTGATAATATATTTTTTTTCTTAAAAAGTTAAAAAGTATTAAAATGAAATGTAAGATTATTTGAAAATAATAATAAAATATCGTAAAAATTGATTTTTGCTAGTTTTGTTGGTTGGACTGACATTTGTTCCAACTTTTGAACATTCATTATGATATAGTGGGAAGGGATAGGTGCTTTCTTGTTTGGCCAATGACCAGGAATCTTCAACTCATCCATCAGCTTTCAGTTTCACGCTTAACCCGATGAGGCCCCCTCTTATGACACAGATTTAGACACCAGATAGAATGGTTCAATGAAGTGAAGAGACCCTATTTTTTTGTTTCCTTCGTTTTTCTCTTTCTATTTAGTACCTTTCTTCTTATGCAATCCTAGCAAGCGTCCAGTCTAGAGAGCTTCTAATTACTGACACAAATCAACATAAATGGCGATTCACAACTTATAGCAACGAACTCAAATTAAATGAATTAATGGAGATCTTTCAATACACGGAAGCATGTTGTAAGCATCGTGTAAAATGATCATCAAACTGAGTTTTGTTTTCTTCTGTTATATTTCGCTTTCTTGACGTTGTAGGTAATCGCCAAGCTGAGGTGTGGTAAGTTTGACGAAACCAACCGGTGAGGCCTCTAGTCTAGTATAGTAACACCAAGATCAGAACCCAAATCTATTACATGTTGTACAATATGTAAGGAAAATGATAAGATTTCAAGTCTCAAGGTCGGAAATCGTTTTCAAGTCTTATTTTATTTAGTTTGAGCTGGTTTCAGCAGCAGCTAAAATAAAAATATATCGTTAGGGTTGCGTAGGTTCTGACTTCATTCACCTTAGTAAATAGATGAGTTATGCTCTTATTTATAATGCTCTGTTCTCTTCTCAGAACTCTTTTCACATTACTTTGGAACCCTCTCCTTTCAGCTTTACAGCCAAAAAAAGGTTTGCCTACCCTTCTGATCTCTTTTAATTACGTTCACCATCATTTATCAATTATTGGACCTTTTTAAATGCTAGCTTTGAACAAAGTTTTATTCTTTGTTTACCCTATTAATATCAAATACTGTCCTGATAGAAGCTTTTTTAATAAGCAAAACCCATATTTTAGTCTAATCCATTACTTTTCATTTAAATGATTTCAAATTCAAATTTCACTTCATATATATATAAGTGAGCCTTTTTCTAGTTATTTGTAAATTAATGAGTAATAATTGTGATTAAGGTGTTAAATAAATTAAGAGTTAGGGTAGTATTCCTTGTTGTATTATTACATGCAAGAGCATCAAATTAAGACAGAAGAAAATTCTACAGAAAACAACGGAAGGGACGTGGGATAGGGAGCCAGGCAGCGGCAGCGGGAAGCAACCCAACCAGTAGTCTATTATTCTCGTTTTTATATAGTGTAGTTTATGTGATGTAATGTCGTGGTGCACGTCAGCCTAAACGGCGTTGATTTCGGTGATTCCTTCCTTTCTCTTTTGTCTCATATATCTGTTCTCCCAGCAATTACTCTAAAAGGAGTGGGAGAAGGTGATATATGTTCAACTTTCAAAGCAACACACATGTCATACCCGCTTAACCTAATCTCACGAATCACCATGAAGAAGCTAATATTCTTCCCATAGTAAATAGACATTTTTTTAAAAAAATCTCAAGACATTTTTTTTAATGATTTGCAGATCATTATTCTGTCTTTAATGCTGGACTCTTCTCTTCACTTCAAAAAATAAAAACTTACCCTTTAACCAAGTTTATTATTATTACTATTATTATTATTTGGTTTGGTACAATTACTATAGAACTCACACCTAAAACCTTACAGTATCAACACCTACACATTTGTCAACTTCGTGAAAGCCTTATTTTTTGGTGAAAAATATTGAGGGATAAACATGAAGAAGCTATGGTTAGGCCTTGAAATTTTATATATTCAGTCTTAGACAGGTATTTACCTGCAGCAAATAATTTTGGTAATTAACAATATGTCTGTCCCCCCCCCCCTCTTGTTGATATTATGTCTGTCCTTTCTTGATCTGCACTGCATCCATCGTTTCTTCATATAAACATCACCGTTAAT